CTGTCCTACACTGACCACCTGTCCTACACTGTCCACCTGTCCTACACTGACCACCTGTCCTACACTGACCACCTGTCCAACACTGTCCACCTGTCCTACACTGACCACCTGTCCTACACTGTCCACCTGTCCTACACTGACCACCTGTCCTACACTGACCACCTGTCCTACACTGACCACCTGTCCTACACTGACCACCTGTCCTACACTGTCCACCTGTCCTACACTGACCACCTGTCCTACACTGACCACCTGTCCTACACTGTCCACCTGTCCTACACTGACCACCTGTCCTACACTGACCACCTGTCCTACACTGACCACCTGTCCTACACTGACCACCTGTCCTACACTGACCACCTGTCCTACACTGACCACCTGTCCTACACTGACCACCTGTTTCTCACCTGTCCTACACTGACCACCTGTTTCTCACCTGTCCTACACTGACCACCTGTCCTACACTGACCACCTGTCCTACACTGACCACCTGTCCTACACTGACCACCTGTCCTACACTGAACACCTGTCCTACACTGTCCACCTGTCCTACACTGACCACCTGTCCTACACTGTCCACCTGTCCTACACTGACCAGCTGTCCTACACTGACCACCTTTCCTACACTGTCCACCTGTCCTACACTGACCACCTGTACTACACTGACCACCTGTCCTACACTGACCACACCTGTCCTACACTGACCACCTGTCCTACACTAACCACCTGTCCTACACTGACCACCTGTCCTACACTGACCACCTGTCCTACACTGTCCACCTGTCCTACACTGACCACCTGTCCTACACTGTCCACCTGTCCTACACTGACCACCTGTCCTACACTGACCACCTGTCCAACACTGTCCACCTGTCCTACACTGACCACCTGTCCTACACTGTCCACCTGTCCTACACTGACCACCTGTCCTACACTGACCACCTGTCCTACACTGACCACCTGTCCTACACTGACCACCTGTCCTACACTGACCACCTGTCCTACACTGTCCACCTGTCCTACACTGACCACCTGTCCTACACTGACCACCTGTCCTACACTGTCCACCTGTCCTACACTGACCACCTGTCCTACACTGACCACCTGTCCTACACTGACCACCTGTCCTACACTGACCACCTGTCCTACACTGACCACCTGTTTCTCACCTGTCCTACACTGACCACCTGTTTCTCACCTGTCCTACACTGACCACCTGTCCTACACTGACCACCTGTCCTACACTGTCCACCTGTCCTACACTGACCACCTGTCCTACACTGACCACCTGTCCTACACTGACCACCTGTCCTACACTGACCACCTGTCCTACACTGACCACCTGTTTCTCACATGTCCTACACTGACCACCTGTTTCTCACCTGTCCTACACTGACCACCTGTTTCTCCCACCTGCAGGAGAACCAGCAGTGCCGGCTCCTCCATCTTTGACCTGAGTGGCGAGTGTGAGCAGCTGGAGAGGGCGCTCAAAGAGAATGACGTCAACACGGTCAAGAAGTTTCTACAGGTAAAAGGGATTTGTCGGAAACACTTGTGTTCTTTTGTGTTGGGTTGTATTGTGTTGTATTTTATTGTGTTGTGTTACAAACAAGTGCTTTTTGATGTCCTCTGTGAAATGAGCATCTATTGATTGGTAAAATGGCCGTAAGAGTTGCTACAAAACGTTGCGTAGAATGTTTAATGGTCCATTGTAGCAAAACATATAGACTACGGTTAGAAAAGAGATCTACAATATTAACGTTCCATTAGATTTTTAGTTCTATTTCTCCAAAGTTTTAAATAGTTTCCAGTTCTTAGAAGCCATTTAATGCCATGTAGGCAAAGGATTCGAACCACGTCTTCAATATCATCCACTAGTCACCATGGTTAAACCACCCCCCCAGCTCTACCACACCCGTTTAACTGACCTAATCTTGACCTTTGATCCTCGGCTCCACCACACCCGGTTAACTGACGTAACCTTGACCTTTGACCCCCAGCTCTACCACACCCGGTTAACCTTGACCATTGACCCCCAGCTCCACCACACCCGGTTCCCGCTGGACGTCCACGCCAGTTTTCTGGACAAGTCCAGCTGTGACTCCCACAGCAGGCGTCAGAGTCACGTGAGTCAGGACGTGGAGATCCTGCTGAGGAAGAGTCAGACGTTGATCGACTCCCTGGAGCGTCACAGGGACAGCGAGCAGACGGATGACGCGCCCAACATTTTCAGGTACTTCCGTTGTGTGTGTGTTTGTGTGTGTGTGTGCGTGTGTGTGTATGCGTGTGTTTGTGTGCGTGTGTGTGTGCCTGGGTATGCGTGTGTATGCGTGTGTTTGTGTGTGTGTGTTTGTGTGTGTATGCGTGTGTGTATGTGTGTGTATGCGTGTGTTTGTGTGTATGTGTGTTTATCACTCAGTATACGGCTCCATCACAGTACTGCGCAAATCTGTTTGACTAGCTCATTACGAAACTGACCAAATCTTTCCGTCCGGGCCATTACGATAATGACTATAACTTTTTGATTGGGTCATTACGATACAGACTAAATCTGTTTGCCTGGGTCATCACGATCCACATTAAATCTTTCTTTCTGGGTCATTACGATACACATCAAAACATTCTCTCTGGGTCGTTTCGATATTGACCAAACCGTTCACTCCCGGTACTTTACCGTGAGTAATTTAATTTTGACGATCAACGTGCGCCTCAGTCGTAGTCTTCAAACCAAACTAAAACAATTGGCAGCACACAACTTGTGAAGTCCCTTACTACACATAGAGATCCCTTACTACACATACACTCGAGGTCCCTTACTACACATACAGTCGAGGTCCCCCTACTATACACAATGTCGAGGTCCCTTACTATACCTACAGTCGGGGTCCCTTACTACACATACAGTCGAGGTCCCTTACTACACATACAGTCGAGGTCCCTTACTATACATAAAGTCGAGGTCCCTTACTATACATAAAGTCGAGGTCCCTTACTACACATACAGTCGAGATCCCTTACTACACATAGAGGTCCCTTACTACACATAGAGTCGAGGTCCCTTATTAAATATCCTACAGTCGAGGTCCCTTATTACACATAGTCAAGATCCCTTACTACACATACAGTCGAGGACCCCTACTACACATACAGTCGAGATCCTTTACTACACATAGCGGTCCCTTACTACACATAGTCAAGATCCCTTACTACACATACAGTCGAGGTCCCTTACTACACATACAGTCGAGGTCCTTTACTACACATGCCAGCTTTAAGAGATTTGACCGCTTGACCCTGGCTCAAGAAAAGGGGTCACCCCAAGGTCGCTGCGATAATGGCACCACGCCATCTGCCAGCCCAGATAGTCAAACACTACTCGCAGGAGCGAGCCGTTAATGTAACCATGGCAACCCAGGGTACCAGGTGACCCGATGCTTCACAGCTGTCACCAATAGATCACATGACCATACCGAGGTGTTACCGAGGTTTTTATGTATTCAAATGATAGCGTATTGATTTATTTCCTACAGTTATGTGAGTACCCCACATTTTTGTGCCATTAAATCAAAATATAATATTTTGTTTTAAAATATATTTAACAAATATCTTTTAAAAATCCCACATTTTCTAAGCAGATTTCTGAAGGCGTAGTTTATTGATCGTTAAACTAATTACCATGTCAGGAACAGAATCTCCGTTTTATTTCCAACAAAACAATCTTATCAATCATAAACATACAACACAAAGTCTGTCTTTGAATTAGAAGTATTATTATTTACGTAGTATATTCAGCATCTTCTGTAGTTAATACAACCCTGTTATAATTGTACCTGTTGACTACTTCTAAAATGAGCAACTCGCCTGTTCTAAAATGACCAACTTGCCTATTCTAAAATGACCAACTCGCCTATTCTAAAATGACCAACTCGCCTATTCTAAAATGAGCAACTTGCCTATTCTAAAATGACCAACTCGCCTATTCTAAAATGAGCAACTTGCCTATTCTAAAATGACCAACTCGCCTATTCTAAAATGACCAACTTGCCTATTCTAAAATGACCAACTCGCCTATTCTAAAATGACCAACTCGCCTGTTCTAAAATGACCAACTCGCCTATTCTAAAATGACCAACTCGCCTATTCTAAAATGACCAACTCGCCTATTCTAAAATGACCAACTTGCCTATTCTAAAATGACCAACTCGCCTATTCTAAAATGACCAACTCGCCTATTCTAAAATGACCAACTCGCCTGTTCTAAAATGACCAACTTGCCTATTCTAAAATGACCAACTCGCCTATTCTAAAATGACCAACTCGCCTATTCTAAAATGACCAACTCGCCTATTCTAAAATGACAAACTCGGCTATTCTAAAGTGACCAACACGCCTATTCTAAAATGACCAACACGCCTATTCTAAAATGACCAACACGCCTATTCTAAAATGACCAACACGCCTATTGTAAAATGACCAACACGCCTATTCTAAAATGACCAACACGCCTATTCTAAAATGACCAACTCGCCTATTCTAAAATGACCAACTCGCCTATTCTAAAATGACCAACTCGCCTATTCTAAAATGACCAATTCGCCTATTCTAAAATTACCAACTCGCCTATTCTAAAATGACCAACTCGCCTTTTCTAAAATGACCAACTCGCCTATTCTAAAATGACCAACTCACCTATTCTAAAATGACCAACACGCCTATTCTAAAATGACCAACACGCCTATTCTAAAATGACCAACACGCCTATTCTAAAGTGACCAACACGCCTATTCTAAAATGACCAACACGCCTATTCTAAAATGACCAACACGCCTATTGTAAAATGACCAACACGCCTATTCTAAAATGACCAACACGCCTATTGTAAAATGACCAACACGCCTATTCTAAAATGACCAATACGCCTATTCTAAAATGACCAACACGCCTATTCTAAAATGACCAACACGCCTATTCTAAAATGACCAACTCGCCTATTCTAAAATTACCAACTCACCTATTCTAAAATGACTAACACGCCTATTCTAAAATGACCAACTCTCTTTCCTAAAATGACCAACACGCCTATTCTAAAATGACCAACTCGCCTATTCTAAAATGAGCAATTCGCCTATTCTAAAATGACCGACTCACCTATTCAAAGTGACCACTCTCTATCCTAAAATGACCAACTCGCCTATTCAAAGTGACCGCTCTCTATCCTAAAATGACCAACTCGCCTGATCAAAGTGACCGCTCTCTATCCTAAAATGACCAACTCGCCTGTTCTAAAATGACCAACTCGCCTGTTCTTAAATGACCAACACGCCTATTCTAAAATGACCAACTCGCCTTTTTTTAAAATGAGCAACACGCCTATTCTAAAATGACCAACTCGCCTATTCAAAGTGACCACTCTCTATCTTAAAATGACCAACACAGAAAATAAAGACATTACTATAACGATGTAGCTGCCAGACTGGTTCTAAATTTCCGATATATTGATCTTTAATACCATGACCATGACCTTGAAGTCAGTCTTCCCAAAATGTAACAAAACGATTTCATGTCGACTCACACACAACAAGCAAACGCTGAATAACAAACTTTCAAATCTGAGTCTTTTTGAAAATCTAAGCAAACTTTCTGGTCTAAATAAGGATTTCAATACAATAATTTAACAAGTTCTCTCATAAATCTACTGAAAAAAAAAATTTCAAATATATTTTGAATTCCTTTTGATTTGTGTTCGATTTGTTTAATTTTCTAAGTCAACATGATATTTTGAGAATCTTTTACTTTAAATCATTTTAAATCACTAAATGAACTATAGTGACGCCATTTTTGTGATTCTGCTGAAATTGTATGTTTCCATCAAATTTGTGACGTCATTAAACATATGTCTAAATACTGGTTACGTCTTTAAAAAAAAGAGGTCCTATGAATGTCCATTAATAATTTAATTTTGATTAAAATTTGTTTACATATTATACATATTTATTTGATTCTTTGCCTCTACCACGAGTTATAGACCTTGTTCCTCTTTTTAAAAAAAAAAAAATAATTTTAAAATTTATTTTATGGCAAATGTATTCGACGCGTTGAAAACCGCTTTTTAAAAAAAGTAATTTTAAAACACGGATAAAAAATTATTATCTTTAAAAAAAATTAATCTAAATTTGTGAAATTTGAAAATAACGGCAATTATTTTAATTAAATTGGATCCTCCTTAGAATCCCCCCCCCCTTCTAACTGCAGACGTCATGTCCTTTTGCTGGTGTGTGCGTGTGCCATATAAAAAACTAATATTGAAAAGTGCTGGTAACGAAAAAAATGTTTTAATGTTGGATTGGGTTAAATTGTATGAGTGTTTTACTAATCCTTGCTAGAAGATTTTAATGTTGGATTGGATCAAATGACATGAGTGTTTTACTAAGCCCTCTTTTGAAGATTTTAATGTTGGATTGGATTAAATGACTTAAATGTTTTACTAATCCTTGCTAGAAGATTTTAATGTTGGATTGGGTTAAATTATATGAGTGTTTTACTAAACCCTCTTTTGAAGATTTTAATGTCGGATTGGATCAAATGATGTGAAGTTTAAATCTGTACGAGCAGAAGTTCGACCTGCGACATCATTAGTAGAAGTAATTATAATTAAACTTCGCCGAGCGTCCAGCGTATGTCACGTGATTTTTTAACCCCTGGGTGCCAGCTGGAAAGGAAGAAAAGACCACAATTAAAAACACACACACGTGTTCTCTAGACCGGAAGTCCCTTAACGCCATCTTTGTCGTGGCCTAGGGCGGAGAAAGATAAAAGGGGGAGGGGGATCAAGGGGACGACAAAAAAATGACAATAAAAAATGTTCTGCTTTGTTTTAAAAACATCATAATGTTGTTTTTAAACTCACGTGTAGATTTAATGATGTCGTGCTTTTGTTTTTGTCTTTGCGTGTTGTTTTTCTTCTCCTACGGGCATGTGATGGTTATATATGAAACCCATATCTTAAGAGGGTGATAACTATGCTTGCTAATCCTAATCCTTACCGCATCAGTTAGATGGACGCCACAGACCACACCTCAGCCACCGCTTTATGATTAATCCTAAGTTATTGTAGAGTCGAGTTCCCTATTCGATCCTGACTGTCCATGGAGCAAGTGAAGTAGAGTTCATCTGTTTTTGTGACTTCGGCATTTGAAGAGATAGTGTGATCAGCACTATACCTAGCCGCCTTTA